ACAAACAAACGAACTGTATGACAAGGATGATGTAGTATTCTGTATAAACAAACAACGAACTGTATGACAAGGATGATGTAGTATTCTGTATAAAACAAACCAACGAACTGTATGACAAGGATGATGTAGTATTCTGTATAAAACAAACCAAAGAACTGTATAAGAAGGATGTAGTGTTTTGTATGCAACAAACCAAAGAACTGTATAAGAAGGATGTAGTGTTTTGTATGCAACAAACCAAAGAACTGTATAAGAAGGATGTAGTATTCTGTATACAACCCAATCCTAAGTCTGTAAAATGCATAACCTTTATTGTCAACTGACCAAAAAGATATACCATCAAGTCGTGTTTGTAGACAATAAGTAATATATAATATAAGTATAAATTCGCATAGCGAGTTTGAACAATTTGTATTTATAAAGCTTCTTGAAAAACAAACTAGCAGTATCCTTACACAAAGCTACTTGAAAAACAAACTAGAATCCTTACACAACCTATTTGTACCATCCTACAACAATCAGATGCTGTAACCAATTTCAACATCTGAAAAATATATCTTGATATACATATGCTACCTACAAACAATGTACTTACAACGCTAGAATCCGGGTTTCGATACCCGTGGTGGGCATAGCGCAGATAGTCCATTGTGTAGCTTTGTGCTTAATTACAAACAAACTTAAAATTCTACTAAAGACAATGTAATTCTTACAAACTTAAAATTCTACTAAACACATTGTAATTCATATAAACTTTAAATACTAATGTATCACTTACAAACTTTCGATTCGCCACAGTGGACACAGCGGATAGCCCAATGAAGTTTGAGCTGAACCAAACAAACCAAACCTACAAACATTCAGTGTCCATAAATATAATACACTCGTAACTCTAAGAGCTTATGAATGAAAGTCAAGCAGAATATATTATAATGTGTCAACACTAAATCTGCCATGTCCAGTGCCGACAAGGCCTTTCGCTCAATACCAACACACAGCTTTTAATGTAAGCACACGCAACATAATGTAATGATACTAAACTTTAATATTCGTATAAAAACACATCACTAGTAATGCCAACAAACTTTTAATGCCCATAGACACGGAATAATATAACGCCCGTAAAGTTTTATGGTCGTGAACACAGTATAATCAATGTACAGCATATAATCTTTATGTCTAATAAAATCAGAATATACTAGTAAAGGTTACAAGATTTTTAAAGCCCATAAAACGAAATACATGTTTATGATGCCCATAAATAGAATATTTAGCCTATAAACATTTGATATCCGCAAACATAATACAATGTATCGTTTACAATCTTTTAATGATAGTAAGCATGATGTAACATCACGCACACACATTCAACGGCAAAGACCAAAAAACTTCCAATATCTGCAAACACAATTTAATACATTGTCTACATACGTTTAGTGTTTGTAAACTGGATATAATGAATCCCCTAAAAATCCTTAATGTACATAAATACAATTCAAAATAATCACACACGGGCAGTTAGTATCAGTAAACAATGTAATACTTAACAACTTAAGATCCTAATAAACACAATGTAATACTTACAAACTTTAAGTACTAACAAACACAGTGTAACGTATCGCTTACAAACTTTAAATGCTTAATAAACACAGGTTAATGCTTACAAACTTTAAATGCTTAGTAAACACAGGTTAATGCTTACAAACTTTAAACGTTTGTAAACACAGGGTAATGCTAACAAACTTAAAAGCCCCCCCCCCCCAGTGGCACAGCGGTACGTCTGCAGACTTACAACGCTAGAATCCGGGTTTCGATACCCGTGGTGGGCATAGAACAGATAGCACATTGTGCTTAATTACAAACAAACTTAAAATTCTACTAAACACAATGTAATGCTTACAAACTTTAAATACTAATGTATGACTTACAAACTTTAAATGTTAGTAACCACAGTACAATGTATCGTTTACAAATGTATAATGTTCCTCTGTGGAATATAATTTTATGTCTACAAAGGAGAATGGCAAGTTAAGTGACCAGAAGTAGTCATTACTGTCGGTATTCAGTTGAAAAAAAAACAAAATGGCGGACGTTCACGTTTTTTTCGGAGAGTGTTGCTTTTTTGTACCAAAAGGCTTAGCATAACTTAACAAATAAGACGATTATATATAAAGTAATTTCAAAACCTTTGACCATTCTAAGTAGAAGACACTTTTTTGCTGTTTATAATCCTATTTGAATAGTTTGATTTTATTGTACTATTTATGAAAAAGAACAAAACATACAAGGTTCTACTGAAATAAGTAAAAATAAGAAATTAATAAATCCAGAATTTCTTCATAATTTACCATAACGCCAAAACCATAGTTTTAATTTTACGAACTAGCTTTTAAAAGAGCATCATAGTGTTTCATGACCTGTGTAGGTGGGGTTGAAGTACGAAGGTAAAAAAGGTCAAGAACAATATGTGAACATAATGAGGCAAAACAATATAGTAGTGTGAATATGAAAGGTGAATTTCCTGTGTTGGAAAAGTTTTTTTATGTATATGACTTTCCTTTATTCTTATTACATGTCATACAATACGTGCAATGAAGTTAATTTCATCTAGGGTCATAAAGGTCATTTTAATAACCACTTGTTTATTGTATGCCCCCCAGTGGCACAGCGGTATGTCTGTGGACTTACAACGTTAGAAACCTGGTTTCGATACCTGTGGTGGGCAGAGCACAGATAGGCCATTGTGTAGCTTTGTGCTTTACTTCAAACAAACCACTTGTTTATTGTATTTGTCTTTTTTTTGCTACCACAATAATTTTGGTTTTTTTATGTTTTTTATTATTATAAATAATATAAAACAAATTTGCTAATTAACCTCGTTTATGTCAAAGATATAGAAATATTTTATTATTATTATCTCTAAGAAGCAAAACTAAGTAATATGAAAATGAAAAAAATATATAAAGGAAGAAATCAAGTGTTAATATCGTACAAGTTTTTAGTGTCCATAAAGGTAACATATAGAGTATAAACATTTAATATCGGTAGACATAAAATCGCTTAAAAAATTTCCCATAAATGTGGTAAACACATCAAGAGGTATCAAACAGAAATTTTAACCCTCTATTGCACATTGTAACATACGGGTAACAAATTCATCTTTGTTGCTTAATACACATATGAATGCTTCAACTCGTTAGTTGATTGCACTTACTTCCACATAACAGTTTAAATAAACCACGGAATTCAATTGAAGAATGTTACTTCTAGGTAACGTACCCATTTATAACTTACCAATATATATATATATATATATATCAAAAACTTTTCTTTTTTTGCAATAATAACCTATCTAAGTAAGCAGTTCAAAGAAAACTTTTTCCCCACCATAACTTCGTGATGCGTGCAATAGAAGGTTAATGTCCACAAATATAATATATCGCCCACAACTTTTAATGTTCATAAAATATGTTTACATTCTCTTAAAGATTTTCCTCAAATGTGTGAATAGCGAATGAAAGTAAATAGTTAACGACTGATATAGTTGAAAAGTTTGCGTTTTAAAAAGGACTACAGTTGGAACTTACATCTTGACTCCTATTTCACGAAGGAGTAGTTGGGGGCCCCTTACGTTTTTTAACGTAATGTTTTGTAGGAATTGCAGAAAATACT